ACCATCGTTTTCATTTCCCGTAAACATTCACGGAGTGTTTCACAGAATCGACGTGCATTCTGAAAAAGGAAGAGAAAATTCTAGCAGCTTGGTGTAATAACGGTGCAATAAAATTGGGCAAGGTGGTCAGGAAAAACAGTTTTTTTTTTCGGGTGCGCCACGCATTTTACTTCCACATTCGATTAGCAGGACTGATGGGACCTACTCTATAGATGATTTTCTAACACTGAAACCCATAAAGGAGTAAAACAAACCGTATGAGGCAGCGATTTCCAGGAGGTCACATGGAAGCTCATGATGTCACCTGTGGCGCCGATTGTGTAGCAGACTCCTGTAGAAGGCAAACCTTTTTGTTTTNACCCCGGAGCCCCTCCCCTTCCTAAAAATATGGTTTTATCGGCTCAGAAGAAGAGTATCCATGATATGCAAGCATATAAGATGTGCCAAGATGTAATTTGTTTTGAATCACGAAACACTTCAGTACAACCTCACCATCCCTTCCCAGACTCAGGCCCACTAGTACCTCGCTGGATAGAGCGCAGGGTGCCGCGCCGCGTGGCCACCCCCCTTTAGAGTTGACCGGTAAAAATGGTTTCTCGCTTCTAACTAGGTAGATGAATCAAAGTCTGAGAGCATTTCTGATCGGACATGAATGTTTGATGAGGTTGCACACCAGACAGACATAGGTATAGGCATGAATATTTAATTCGCTCATTATTCTACATTAATAACATTAAAGATTAATAATACAACAATTAATTTACAAGTTTTTCTTTCTCCTCTCTGATTCTGACATTCTACCTACCAGACGAGTTTTTTTTTTTAAATTAGGTAGTTTCCAGTTGAGGTAAAAACAATTGTGCATTGCTTTTAATAAAACATTAGCTCATCAGTTTTTACTGCTTACAATTTAATCGCTAAATTATTAACAAAGAACCTGGCTCTAGAGCAAATCTATTTACAAGTGGTTCACGAATCCGAATACGGTGAGAGGTAGACGCTCAGGTAGATAAGCAAACGAGTTTCAGCTAGCGATGACGTCATAGAGCAAAAATTAGAAGTTTCAGGTAAAAAAATTATAAGTTTTGAAAAGGACGTCCTCCTATAGGTAAGTTTTCGCTCAGCCAGAATACATCGATTTTGGGAATCTACATAGCAGCCTACATAGCGCCATACTACATCTCAGCATAAAAGCCACCTTATCGATTAGCGAAAGAGACAAATTGGCCGCGAAGTATAAAGCGCTTCCTATACACTATAAATATATACATTGAAGTATGTACAATAAATAAAAGTATGAGGTATCTAGTACAGTATGAAGTCGATCAGCTGACCGCTCGATCAACCATCGTTTTCATTTCCCGTAAACATTCACGGAGTGTGTCACAGAATCGACGTGCATCCTGAAAAAGGAAGAGAAACATTCTAGAATTTTAGTGTAATAACATTGAACAAGGTAGTCAGGAAAAACTGTTTTTTCGGGTGCGCCACGCATCTGACTTCCACATTTTATTAGCAGGACTGATGGGATAACAGCACCAACTCTATAGATGATTTTCTAACAACTAAGTCGATAGAGGAGTGGAACAAACCGTATGGGGCAGCGATTTCCAGGAAGTCACATGGAAACTCATGATGTCACCTGTGGCACCGATTGTGTAGCAGACTCCTGTAGAGGCAAAAACTTTTTGTTTTGAAGTACGACCCGACTTTCAAATTGCGGGCTTACCGTAATTCGATCCTTCAGGACAACTGAATGCCCCAGCAGGCCAGAACAGATCACGTTCTTTGTTAAGTGCTTTCATGTATTCGCTCATTTGATGCTGAGGGGTCTGAAAAGAGTTCGGTAAGTTACCGGTCATGATATGACCAGATGGGATGGTGAGCCTGAAGAAATAGTCGAAAGTCTAGAATAAACCCACTAAAATTGTAGAGTTCAAAGCGAGAAGGTTGAAAAATGCTTGAAGAATGCGAACAGGGAGGAAAATAGGTCAAAATGGAACAGCTTGATGAAGGGAGGTACATGAATAAGCCAGTTTTGTTTACTTTAGTATTTTCAGTATTTGCTAAGGAAAGAAGAAACAGAGAAGGGAGGGAATGGGGGTAGGGTCTTATATAGTAAAAGAACGATTAAAAGTGAGCGACATTGATTATTGCCATATGATTTACATCAAATTCTGAGACACATTTAATTAATTGCATTTGTAAAAGTGAAAAGTATTACGGTAGCAGTACGGTAATGGCTAATCACCTGACTGGTAGAGAGTGCGTAACTCATGCTAAACACGTTGTCCAAAAATGGTGATTGTATACCATAGTATTTAGACACCACATACATTCCGAACAAATGTCGGTCGACACCGTAACCAGCCATTGCGTTACGGTAATACGTCTGATGCGAATCGCATGCCTTTCGTAGTAGTAATAATCGTGTCTGATCCTAAAAATGGAGTGGCCTCACTATAGATAATATGGTATTTGTCGCTGAGAAGGGAACAATATGGACTGTAAAAGGCTACAGGCTGTAAGACCATTAAGCATTTCCATTTATCATTGATTACTTTCATTTATCATTAATTATTTTCATTTATCATTAATTATTTTCCTTTATCATTATCATTATTGATTTTATTCGATTTTTGTATTATTAACAAAATCAAGCACTCACGTCCTTGTTCTCGTCAAGCATAGAGTTAACAAAATCGCATGAATGTGTGCTACAGCTCCGCACTGTTTCCGTCCGTCCATCGCGGAACAACCGCATCACTGTCGGCTCATAGGTGAGTTCGAATTTGCCTTGATCCTTAAAGAAATCTATATTTTTCAAGTGGTTATGATCAAGGAGAATTGTATCCGAATGAGTGCAAGCTCTAAGTCACAGCTGTTGCTTAGCCCTTCAGCAGATCAGCCTTTGGTTTGGTTTGTAGGACTGACGAGGATAAGAAGGCGAGACCCGTATTCGGGGATACCGGGGTATTTTTAAAGCCACCTCTTATACCGAACAAAGGGTGGTTCAAACTGTGGTCAGGACAAATTTACAACTTGTGAAGTTTTAGTGATTACAACGATTATGCTGTTATCCTAAAAACTCGATTTCACTTGCTTCGAGTAGCCTCTGGAGGTGGATCAACTTCAAAAGCCCCAGGATCCCTTTACTGCACAGTGATATTCGAGGTGAGTGAGAGTATTTCGTTGACTGTAGAGGTGCAAGGGGTTGAGGGGATAAAGTAGGGCTTCGTCAGCACTTTGAGTATACCTTTTGGCTTCACAAAAAACCTCATTTTGAGAGTATTCGCGAGCCTAGTGGTTAATCCTTTGATTACATCAGATATGAGCCTCCATTAAGAATAAACGCTATGTTACCTTGTAATATGCCATTTGTAATGCCATTTGTAGGTATGCATCCGGAGAAACACCAATCTTTTTCATGAAATCTTTGCCATAGTCACGGAAAACGCAGTGCGCATTCTCGAAATCGTCCGCGACTCCCTTGGAGAACGTGTAGGCTTCCTTTATTGCGTTCACGGTCTGGAACATTGATAATGAGGGCAGATCCATGAATAACATGAACAAAATTCTGTTTCACTTTCAGAGATCAGAGATAGTGGTGGTAGACACCGGAGAGTAGACATATACATATACATAGCCATTGATGAGGGTGTGGTACAGTAGGAACGAAATTGTCGCGAGACGCTGCGCCCGAAGGAATGTAGCAGAATGCAGCAGCAAGTAAGAAATTCAGGAATAAGTGAACTAACACTAGAATATGCCATAAGTAATACTTGCATAGTGATTGAGCGGTATGAAGAACGCTGGAATTGTTATAACGAGGCAAATGGTCCGCGACAGCCGCGTGCGGCGGATCGATTACACAAAAACGTTCCTACTGCCCGTCTCCCTCATTGATGAGACTGCCTATGTATTTGCAAAAAAAAAAACTTTTTCCCACCCAGACCCTGCCCTATTTTGCTGATCAAATTGACGGTTGCCAAGAAATCACCTCGCCATCCAGATTCCATCGAAGTCGCTCGGGTTTCGGTACCACTTGAATGTCACCTACGCAATTACCATCTGGTCCGTATGGCTTGGTAAAAGCCTCATGGTACTTTAGATATTCACGTACGTGTACATAAATCATCGCATCAACCACAGAGTGTTCAGCATTCGATATGAACTGTAAAGAAGATAAAATGAGCCCTCATAAAACCCTACCAAATTGTTAGGACGAGTTTTTCCTCTTCAGAAAGGTATACTGTATTCAAATAAGCAAAGAGACACAAATAATTTTGCACTTCGGTATGATAATAAGGTCATTACCCTGCCATTCCTGGTAAAAGTGTACACACTCGGTTTATCACACCATAGCTTATAGCCGTCTCCAGTCAATGCCAGTTGGTATTCACGATCGTACACCTTTGGGTCATCCTGAAAGAAAGAATGCCTTTTTAACTCTCTCACGAGTAACTCGGACATTTTCCTTCCGTACCTGATCATATCCGGTTTCACCATCATCCAAGAAGACGATTTCTAGAGCGTTCTCGATCATCGATAGTGACTCCTTATTGACTCCTGAAAAGAGCATGGCTCAATCAATGATTTCGGATCGTTCTTTGGGAAGGAGCTGTATATTTTCTCGTTTTTTTGAAATATCAAATAGTTTACACTTTATCCTCCCCCTCTGTTTTTATTTATTGCTGTGTTTCGGAATGTGAAATGGCTAGTCACCTTCTGAAAATTTGCTGTCTCGAATTCGTGCCCAAAGGTCGCGGGAGCCAGCAGTCAGAGCTGATAAGTGTTCCTCTCCTTCATGGGGTACATCGTTTTGATCCAGAATCTGTTGAAGTGACCTAAAATGGAATATTAGGCTTCCCAGAGCGCGGTGGGAGGTTAAAAACCTCGAAATTGAATCCAAAAAAGCTACCGCTGTAATTCTGCTGGTCGAATCATTCGTTTGCCATGGAAAATGTTGACTTTATACCAACATTTCTTAGAGTATACAGCAATATGTCGAGCATCAGGAAGTCGAATCATCACATCTGTAATGATATTTCCTATAAAAACCCTGAATTGCAGGGTGACTCCATGGAGTTGTGGAGAATTACGCTATTTTCCTACTCACGCATAGTTTTGGATCAGATACAGGTCGCACAAATCACTAGGCCCTAAGAACCTTCCACCACTCTGTGGCCAGGAAGTTGGTTCTACGTCTGGTTAGGGTCAGGAGAAGCGTTCTTCAGTGTTAACGCATTGAGAAACTTTTTGCATCCACTAGCTGAGCTTTTTCTTAGAAGTTCGAAATTCACGACCGAACGGGTGTGGTGTTCTCTACCGCCTCTTTTGACAAGAGGAGTAGATGCCTAGTCCCCTTTCTGGGTCGCTTTCCTAATCCTAACCCTTCGCTCATAACCCCTAATACAACTTCTAAGCTTCCGCTTGTTATTTTGGCCTTTTTTTGAATGTACCAAGTTCATCAAATACTCCCCCAAATCTTTCTCTTCTATCTGAAAAGAGCTGCTCCTGCTCCAGCTTGTCCCTCATTCCTAACTGAGGCACCTTCTGTCCCGACGTTGGTCTCCATGGTCATTACTCAGCGATTACAGAAGGGAACTCACCGCTTGTTTCTCGAGGAACTCGTAACGAACGGTGATAGTCGATGTACTGTGTAGCACACAGTGGTATTGGACCCATTGATATCTGCAAATGCTGAAGTTTAGACAATTCTTCACCTTAATCCCGAAAAAGGAAACAATTCTGCTATCAACCCTCCCAAGTCCATTCCCTTCCACGTCGTAACTTACCGGTTTCATTGTGTTCTTTGAGAAAATATCTCTACAAAAGTACTGCCGATTCAGTGTCACATAAGCAGCTCGAGCGGCTTGGTTGGTGGTGGTTGGCTGAAAGGCTTGGTTGGAGATCTCCTTTCTCGGGCTGCGCGGAGGAGAATGGTCTTACCGTGTAGATGACATCGGCACATGCCACATTAGTGTGAATTAGAGAGCCACGATGGCGCATGTACACCACTTCCTTCCACCAATCGGAGAGCTAAAAGACACTTTTGTTGCAAGAGTGCTTACTGTATACAATAAATGTAAATTATAGAGTTACTAAGGTGTAAAAAGTGGTAAAAGACCAACATAGTTTTTGGAAATGAGCCATTTCAGCCAAAGTTTCCGCTGGATATCTTTCGACACTGTCTTCTCGAACTCCTCTGCTTGGGATGTCATCTTTTCGAATTCGGTGTCGTTGAGAAGTGGGCGAACGGTCTTCAGGTACTGAAACGAACCAATGAATCTTCAGTCCCATCCTAGATCGAATCCAGCAATCTCGTCCACGCCCTGTAGTCCTCTACCTCTCCATGGTTGCTTATGCGTTGAACTAGTACTAGATAGATCTGGAAAAACACACCGTTCTTACTGTATTCTTGACTGATGGAGGAGGCATCCATGGTAAAAGACCTTGAAACGAAAAGAATCGGGCTCTTCTCGATAGCACCTGCATAATCGCCTAAAACAGCAGTTAGTAATGAAGTAAATTCCTTCGAATTTTCGAGAAATCAGTGGGTAAAAACGGTTGAGCTAAACTGAATACGTCAAATATCTTTCCCATAGTTGGAAAATTGGCTTACCATGAATAGTTGGGTCTGGGTTGACGGCTTTCCTCCAACTGATTCGAAAAGCCATCCTTTATAGTACAGAAGAAGGGTGATGGCAAATCTAATGACATAAACGGCAATGACGACAAAGGCGGCTGCTATCACGAGGACACAACTCAAATGGAGTAGTGGGGAAGGGCTAAAGAGATTAGTATTCATTTTCTTATTCATTTAATTGTTTATTAATTGCTGTTTTAATGAATTAATTATATTTTTATATCTAATTGTTTATTCATGAGAATAGTTATGAGAACAACCTCCTTCCTATAACCAGTTGTTTGATTCCTGTAGAAAATACTAAAAATAGGAAAGATAACATTTGAATGATGAGTGACCCACCAAACTGAAGGCTTTGAAAAGTTCGCTTCACCTACAGTATACTCCCAGGAAAGCCTTGGAAGGTCATGTAAGGGGAATACCATTCAAAAGAGTCGGAACGAAAACGAAAAAGCCAGCCCCAGACGTTTTGAATGTTTCTCATACCGTAATCAATGCTGATTACGGTATAAAAACCATTCATTGGCTCCACTGTGATATGTGGTCGATGAAAAAGCATTGCGTTGAGAACTGTACTTTGCCGGAACTACCATGACCTTTGAGCCATGCCCTTTGGGTTGATAAAGAATTTGCTGACATTTGAAAAACATCCTCTCTCAAAGTGTTTTTATAGCGATTTCTACGTACGCTTAATTCTATTATTTGAAATCTTGATTTTCTTAAAAATAAGAAAACCATCAACTCACTGCAATACATAGCCGGCAAGATTTTCAAGTGTTCGAACTGGTACGACAAATAGTGGAAATCCGAATACATCGAGTACTGTACATATGATGACAGCGTAAATGAGTTCATGAGGTAGAAATGGGAATACGGAATCGGCGACAGAATGCTGAAAACACAAAAAAATCGGGAAAGAACTAAAATTATCCATGAATGATGAAAGAAATGTCCTTCACTCCTCGTCAGCGCCTTTTTTCTGACTACAGTATGCACTATGAGATTTTTTTCAGCTTTCCCGATGCAATTTTTTTCACTAAAAAAGTGAGACCGCAGATCGGGTAAAGGAATTGAGAAACCACCGACTGCTAGTAAATCTTGCCTTTAAACAACGCTTATAGTAGAAAAGGATGAAGTCTTTGGGCTTCAATCAATCCCATCTGAGGGAGCCCCCCTGCATTCGACTTAAATCCAAAATCGTAGTGGAGTATCGAATGCGTACGTGGCCTATACAATGACCTGAGGTGGCCATCCGATATACAAGTCAATGCTTTTATCCTCCCAGGCGAGTCTGGTACCAATTCACCGACCCCGGAGGGATGGAAGGCTTGGTTGGCCGGGAGAATATCAATCCGGCATTCGAACCAGTGACATGCGTGAGGGTGGTGCGGACTTGCCACTACACTACTCCCGCCCTTTAAACATCGCTTGACCTCAATAAATCAATATTTAGTTACACTACACAGCTGTTTTCGTTCAGAAACTGCTAGAATTCTAGATTCTCAACTCAAGTCCCTTTTCTAATCCGAAAGGGGTTCAATATTTCTTTATGTGACAGGAACGAATGTTCGGTGGGGTGGTGACAAGTGGCAAGCTATCACACATGCATTGTCGGGGGAACAGATCCTGGATAAATACCTGCTCAGGGCCACTGAGCCTTCCATCGGGTCGGTTTTCATCAGACTCATCTAGGAGGACCCAATACCCATTCAAAACGCCACTCTAAATGGGAGTCGAAGGCAGGGGCGCATCCTTTGAACGGGATTGATTTTCACCAAAAGACGTTATTCTTTCATTCTATTTGGCTGTTTAGTGACAGCGGTGATTGCGGGAAGAAAACGACGAAGTGTTCGGATTTTCATTCGCTAGGTAATCTTTCTCATCAGTTGTAGCGGATCCGCGCGCCTAATTAGGGAAGAAAGTACCTGTCTATGGTGGGACAAAGATAATCCCATGCGCAACCTACAGATTTAGGAGAAGTGAAAAACGCTAATTATCCAGGAGGGATTCATTATAATAGCAGGTTTGTATTTACTTCTATCACTTCCAGGCAGACTTGTTGTTTATGTGAATGTGAACCATCCTACGATAATTTTTGCATTATGTATGTGGTTGTTTACTGGGCAAAGTCGTTCGTTGGGGGGTATCGACCCGATGGCGATGGTTGCAAAAACAAAACGAAGAAGTGTTTGTGTTTTCACCCGCCAGCTAACGTTTTCCATTCATCTCGTCATTGCAAACCCACGTGCCTAACTGGGAAAGAAAACGCCCGAGTGCTATCTTTAAAGAGATCGGGGCTAATCCACAAGCACAATCTATAGATATAGGATTAGCCTTCAATTAATGTCGAGGGCTCTAGGTGGCTACTATACATACACCGAGGATATCGAGTGGAAAAATTACCGTAATGCGATTAGCTTTCCGTGAAAACTTCTTCACTAGATCGTGCCCTTCCGATGGCACCTTGCCGTTCGCCATTCTGGAACAACCCAAATACTTCTGGGAGGCCTTTGTCAAATTGAAAATAGCAACCAGAAGAGGGAAAAGTGAGAGGAAGAGAAGAGGAAAAAAACAGTCGAAAGAGGCAGTAGGGGGAAAAGAGACATCGTTATTCAATCACCGAAAAAGGTTGAGAGGTTCATAGACAGTCAAAAGCTGGGTACAGGTAACAGAGGGTCTAAAGACGTCAGATAAACTTGAAGAGCAGAAAAAGGAACTCTACTCTGTTGTCGTAGGAATGCCTTAAGTACATCCTTCGCCCGATCGTCCGGTCACGTCCTTCGGGGCAAAGTCCACTGGAAGAGAAGCCATGCACCGACGTGACATGGGCGCCGGCGAGACACGCAGCGTCGGCCGCCCCGACGGGAGGCGGACGTCACATCAGTTTGTTAAGCAGCAGCAGCATCAGCAGCATCGGAACAAGTTATTTTCAACAGACAACGCCACTGACGTGAAAACACAACCAATGAATTGGATCTTTGTAACTGAAGGCAACATAAATAGCAACTAATTTGGGTAAATAACTACTCCTACAGCGATTACGTCACACCACGAATGGCACCATCCAGTACGACGACCAAGGAAGAACAAGAACACGTGGCGTATCTGGTGATTGAAGGTGAACCACTTCAATGCTAAGGGACGCAACATGTTTGCCAAATTGAGATGGTCCCTCACCAGCCAGCATGTTTGCGCCCCGCCCTTGACCTCTATTCAGGCAGGCCAGAACTTTTGCTTACGTTAGCGGGTTCAGAATCGACAAAAGGAATGAAAAGGCTAACTAATTAACTCGGAAGACAGTGACGAACACCGAGTGATCGATGGGCTTTTATTTGGCGAGACGGTTGATTCATGATCAACAACAAAGTATCTTTCCGATCAAACAGTGATGCCAGACCTACTGATAAAGCAGAAATGTTGTTTCCTAGTAAACTGTCAACAACGCGTTGTTGTTTACCACGTGGTCTACGGCATGGTTAGCGCTCGACGTTCTCTGATAGCATTGAAAACGGAAGCGGCGACAAATATGACTACCATGGATACGAATCGAGCCACTCGACTGCAGACAGACAGACAACTGAACGACGATTCTGTGTAGCTAAAGTCCCTTCATGAAAGTTAACTAGAGCCTACTCCAGTAATGTAGCCAAGTAATATACTTTCAGCATCGCCAAGTACATTTGAATGTGAAGAAAGAACTGAGATACTGAGAAAAGATTTTCGAGTTTAAGGGCGTCACTCAAATCGTAGTAGTTCTGGTAGTTCTGGTAGGTTCTGGCTTCCGTGTACCTATGCAGCAGTAAAAAAGCACTTTGTGTTTTACAGGGCTGATTCTTGAAGAACTTTAAAACACATTAAAAATAAAATTATTGCGACAAGAACAGGAAAACCAAATCGGCATAGTCTACGGACTGGAATCCATCTCGAAAGACTCGAAGGAACCGCGTGATGTAATTAGGATTCTGCTGGTCAGCCTATTTACAGAACTCGCTGACCTAGAGTCATGTGGTTATGCAATAAGAATTCGTAAGCTTAACCGAACTTCATTACTGGCTGATTTCTTTTGTGTCTGTAGGAAACCTTTGGATAAATTTTTTTCTATCGTCACAACAGATCAATTAATTCACAACTAGCGCCGGAAACTGGCAAACTTCCGAAGCAGGAAAACCTAATCAATCTCAGTCGTGTTGTTGAAAATTTATTAAACGAATTATCAAACGAATTTTGGGAATCTGGGAAGGAATGAGTGGAATGGTGAGTTGAGCACTTCGCTTATGAATCGAAAACTCGATTGAAGCGCGATAGACAACTGAAGCAGTCTTCTAACCCATTATACTAATTGATATTTCCTGAAATTTTCCTTATTTGACCGAAGTCCGGATTGCCTGCCTATTTTGGTTCGGTTTATTTAGAAAATGACGTTCTTGACCGAAGCTGTAAACATTCGCCTTTTCAAAACTCAAATTTTCCTAGGCAACTATATAAACCTAACGCGGAGAAGCACCCGATCTTACTTCCTTTCAAGAACTTTCCTTTTCTAAGGTTTCGACAGTTTTCGGCAAAAGTCGGAGGCGAGGTGAATAGCCTTGCCTACTAGAAACTCAGCCATGAATCAGTCCCACGATACAATCACTCATAAGGCAATCACGCCGTGCGTAGACTCCCGGATAGGGAGGGATCAGACTTGTCTTTGAGATTTGGGAACCTTCTTGTACATCAGCATGATTAATCATCGTAGTTTCAAGTACGCCTTCAACTGTCACTGCGTCTTTAAAGGGTTCCAAATGCATGGCGCGCTCTACATGCCAGTTATCGACGTCGACTGCTTTTGTCTTTATATATCCCAGTCCCTCCATGTAAGGTTATTACACTTCTTCCCAGGACCTATCTCAGAACATCATGTTACTATAAGTAATACATAGACGACTCGTACTCGTACTAGACTAGTACTAGTTGTATTTGGTTTCCGGAGAAGTTGTATTCTCGCTTGACACTTTTATCGCCGTTCTCTTATCAGTGCAACTTGGTACGAGACAAATCTGATCGAAGATCGCCGATGATCACGTGCCGATTCTGAGACGAGGCTGACGCTCCAAATCAAAAGATCATTGGGGACTAAGACCAGTTCACATTCGATGATTCGTCTTAGCATGCGGTGTCTG